ACTTGCTGGTTTGGGTGAGTTATCGCCATTTTGTGGTAAACGAAAACTTCTCTAAAACAGATGGAAAAACATTATTCCCCTACAATGACTTCTTATCTACTTACTGTGTTTTAAATTTTAAAATTTTTTTATTGCTAAATTTTTTGTAAGAGCGTGAAGATTTGAAATTTTTTGTCGAGAATCCCTACATGGTAAAAGCTCATACATACAAGAGTGAACCAATTTATTAATGTTACATAGGGTAATTTGCAGTTATTCTGTCCTTGGGGACTAGTTTTCATGCATTTATAGTGAAGTGATAAGGGCACATTTCGGTGTATGAAAAATTATATGGGATGACTTTTTTCAAGTTTTTGGATCGAAATAACTGCTTTTATTTCAGTGTTCAGTCTTCGCACTTTTTCGATGAATTGATAACGAATGCCTTTGGTAATATTGATGCAAAAAACGAACTAAATTTCCTGAGTTTGGAGCGAACTTATTTCTATATTGAAGACCAGTTCTGTGCATTTCTGGTAAACTAAGAAACCTTCTGATAATGATGATACCATTTCGTAATATTGACTCATGTAGTACTGTGGTACGGAGTTTTCAAATTTTTGCACCAAAATAAGATAATGACTCTTTGGTGGTACTCTCGAAAATGCTAAGGCACGAAGTTATTGAGTCTTTGTGGCTCAAGAATACAGTTCTCATCTCGGGGACCAGCTCTCGTGCATTGGTAGTGAATTGGTAGACGCTTTCGGAGTTACTTCTGGGCCGAAACAATTGGTTTTGTTCCTGGGGACTAGGTCTCGTGCATTCTGTAGTGGATTGGTGAATCCCTCTAGTGGTAATGCTATATTATAAAATGCTATGAGATGGTTTTTAAAATTTTTTTACAGAAACAGAAATAACGATTATGAACTCTCCAAGTTGTCTATCTCTTTCCTTTCCAGATCGCTCACGAGTTTACTATGCATCCTATGCAAATATTGGTGATGAGATGGAACCACCAGTGGAGCAGATCTCCCCTTCAGAACAAAATCCTGAAGGAGGAGAACGACGTCGACGTATCGTCTCGAGAATTGTGGCCGCATCGGTGGTCATTGACGGTAGATCCGTTAGCATACCATCATTACCGAGACCGGTTAGTTTTCAGCGATTGTTTTTTTTTCGCAAAATCTTATGTTAGATTTATCCTGTGCTTTTAGATTGTCATCACATTCCATCACCATCCAGAAACATTGCGACGAATGTCCTCTCCACAATGTTCATGGTGGGATATGGAGGACTTGGAAGTAAGTGCTATCCCCCTCTTTTTGCTGTTTAGGCATTTTGGCAATTCGCCAGAATTGTAAAAATTAATTTTTTAGTGGTCACAAACAGGGTGCATGCTCAAGTCGCATAATACGACTCATACCGTATGCGCTTGTAATCACATGACACACTATGCTGTGCTTATGGACTATGTCGGACATGAGGTGAGGGTCTTTCCGATTTTTTGAAATTTTTACCCTGTTTTGAGGGCAATTTACCATTCTGCGCATGTTTTAGCTTAGTTCAAAATTTTGAAGTGGTAAAAGAGATTCAAAAAAGATATATCTAACAAGAAATGGCAGTCCTAGGATTTCCGTTCGGGGGAGTGGGAGAGTTTTTTTGAATTAAAGTTTGGCACTTAGCCACGCATCTGCGAAAATTTTTTGGGTACTTCTCAAAATTTTTTGCGGGCCAGCTAATTTGAATTTTTCAAAAATTTAAAAAATTGTTTCAATCATTTAGAAGTCAAAGAAGTCACTTGCGCTTCTTTATAATTCGTGTAAATGACTTTTTAAAAATTTCGAGACTCATTCTCGGAGGGAAGGGGGCTCAAAGTAGTACCCAGGCAAATTTGGGCACTTTGACTTGTTAATGCCATCTTATTTCAAGTTCTTGGCACTTTTCGTCAAGTACTGTAATCGTGATCGCTGATTGGTCAGCTCGGAAAAAAGTACGGTACAGTACGGTAATGGAAAGAGTCTCGAATTGGCTTACAGGCCACGAATTGATAGTCTGAGCTGCCGCTTGTGATTACCTTATATTCGAATGCTCAGTGTTTTCAGAAACCATGCCAAAAGGAAATGATTAAGATTTTTGAGAATGATTAAAGTTTTTCGGTAAATCTCTTTAGATTTCCATTATTTTACGTGAACGAGGCCCCCAAAAATTGCTTAGCTTACTTTTTCAAGTCATTACCCTGATATGGTTGCTACCATCTCATATAGTTGAGATTGCTTTTCCTCAATGGATCTGTGAATTATGAAAGGTTAATTTGCAGATAGATTATATCCACTATTGGAATATAAAATCAGTAAGGTTTTCCTAGCTTCCATTTATTGAGTTTGACCCTAGCGCATAATCTTGGCTTTTCATCAGCCCTTCTATCAATTTCTTTCAATTTTTGGCCAGTATCTCAATGGTTAAAGGTCTCGACTATGGACAGTCAACTTCTCACAATTATCACCTATGCCGGCTGTACGCTGTCGATCATTTGCCTCATTGTGACATTCCTTTGCTTCGTAGTTTTCGTCACTGGAGGAGGCGATAGGTAATCAATCATTTTCCTACTATGATTATTTAACTTTTGCTAAGTTTTCTCCACAAAAATCATTTTTATAGAGTGTTCATACACAAAAACCTGTGTGCATCGTTGTGTATCGCGGAGATTGTGTTTTTGGCTGGAATTTGGAGAACTGAGGAAAAGGTAGAATTTTTTTCTGATGATCTAATACCTTACCTTAT